GAGACCTCTATGCTTTACTTCTTCAGCAACTCAGAGGCATAGTTCTTTAGGGTATAACTATTGGATTGACGTACACAAATCAATGTGGTTACAGCTCCATGAGAGACGAGTCTCCTAGTTTAAGTAATCAGCTTAAGAAGCAGAACAAAGATTCAAGAACATTACCCAAGTGTCAGGCATATATGTTTAAATTACATGTGTGATTACGCTATGAAGTTCGATAAATATTGAAACAAAACCCCACCAACTCTCATGACCCAATATGTATATGGGGAAACCAAAAATGTATATGGAAACAGTGGCGGAGCCAGAAATTCACAAAAAGGGATTCAAAAGTTACTAAAGTGTCACAGCTAGGATTTGAACATGTGATCTAAGGGAATTTTTTAACTCCCTTTGCCAATAGACTAGAATCTTTCCTTCTATCAAGGAGTTCAGCAGTTCATATAGGAGTATAACAAAAAAATCATCTTTCGGGATTCAATTGCAACCCCATAAAAAAATCATCTTTCGGGAATCAATTGCAGCCCCATGCTTCCCTTTACATTCCACACTGTGCGGAGAGCAGCGGGCCTCAATGCACACTGTCTTGAACTGTATAAGATATAGAAATTTCTAAAATATATCTTTATTTTAAATCTGAACACATTGTCGTCAAGTAGAGGTTGCACATCGGTTCCATCTCAAGCATCATATGTTAATATTAAAAATACCCTATTATCATATGAAAAGCGTCTAAAAAGTGTAAAAAAACGGGTCGAATAAATTGTAACGAGACAGACCTTGAAATGAACTCTGAGAGACGAGCCCCTGGCTTTGCAAGCTGACACATTAACACAGCCCAGTTTTAAAGTTAGAGAAAAAAAAAACATTTTACTTAACATAAAAAACAACCAAAGACACACTTCTAAAAGTTACAAAAATTGTAAACTGCAACTTGCGCGTATATATATAACGTTGAATACTCACATTTGGTAGGATTATCGGGTTCTTTCGAATACTTCACCTACATTGAGCAAAGAATTACACGTACAAAATGCATTAGGACATAAATTAACAACAAACCGAAGTGGAAAATAGGAAGGAAATTTTTATAGAATTACCATGGCTGCCGGCGATGCTGGTGCTGGTTGAGTTGCCTACTTTGGTGCCAAACTAGAGAAGTGGAGAAGAAGGCAGGCTTTTTTTCTTGTAGGGTTTTGCAAGTTCATTGGGCCTAACTAGTGGGCCTCCGGGGAGTACTTTAGTGGTCACGACTAATTACTCTTTCTTAAAGCAAATTTTTCTATACAAAATATCTGTATATTATTTTTGAGATGGTTATACTGAGCAAGATTTACATTAAATTTTTTTAGTTAAAAATATGTTTGGGTTTGCATATTAATATATTATACTTAGTTAATAGAATTATTTATTTTTAGTTATTAATAGTCACATTGAAGAGGAGGATTAATATAGCTTGTCCAAAAATTCAAATGGGTATAGTCTACGGCACGAGATGTGGACACGTTTAAATTGTGGTACTCAAGATGCTCGAGGAATATGAATGGAGTAAAAATTTTAGTCAATAAGAAACTCCGGAAGCAGGTGGTAGAGCTTAGGAGGATAAACGACAGGATTATGGTGATTAAGCTAGCACTAGCGCAAGGTACAAGTAATTGGGCAGAGGTGTGTGTCCTTTTATTTTTCATCAACTGATGCATACAAAGGGAGGACGGTAATCATTAGTGAGACAAATTCAGGGGCGGCTTAATATAATTGATGACCTAAAGCCAACCTTAATCAGAGGCCCGATGTTAAAAAAGAAATTTTATTCCTATTTGAAGTCTATCTTTTAGCTTTATGAGATGCAAAATCTAAGCTTTTCGACAGCGAAGGCTTTTCTTTGGTCATCCCTCTATTTTTTTATTTGCTTTCTTGAAGATGGTTTAATCATCCTTGCTAAATCATCTTTTTTTTCTATATTTCTCCTTTGCCTCAATAAATCGGGGCCTAAAGCAGTTGCTTTGGCTGCTTGGCCCTTCAGCCGGCATTGGACAAATTCTCTCCTCATTTATTACTATATTACTGGTGTTTGGTCCATACCAGAGAACTTAATATGCTGGTAGATAGTCATGGTGTTATTACTAGACACTATTCCAGAGAAACAAACCTAGTAGTGGATCAAATGGCTGCACTGAGTCACAATATTGAGGAAGTGTACATACACACTAACTTTGATATGTTGCCTCATCAGACTAGAGGTCTACTAAATGCTCACATATGGCAACTTCCTACATCTGAGTCAAGAGGAGAAAACTAAGCCGGCTTGTCTATGAGCCACCTTGAAGTAGCAACTTTATTGCCACATTATTTGTTGTTTTGCTTTCTGAGGAATAGTTAGTTAGATTATTCTCTAATTTATCTTCCCTCTATCATATCTTATAAAGAAGACTTAGGTATATTCTGTTTCTTCAAATGTACTATCTTCAAAAGTAATAATAAAATCATGATTTGTTTAAGGANATCTATATATGGTAGAAATCGGAGAGCTCGATTTTGGAGATTTGGTTACACTCCGAGCTCGAGTTCGAGAAGCTCGAAGTAAAAAATCAAACCATGCCCGGATAAGCGCACCTCGAGAAGAAAATCGAGGACCCATCATGATCTGCCTCGAGGACAATACAATTTCGAGGTCACTCAAGAAAGAGCGAGAATTTCTCAAGGACACGTGGATCAGGGCATAAATTATAGGATAAGCTCCGTACGAAATAGTACAAGTCCGTATTAGGTTGTTACACAGTTGTACCAATAGAATTCTTTGCCATAATTGGAAATGTACTATATTAGGGTTTTCCCTTCCTATATAAAGGGGACCCCAATCATTTGTAAGCAGCATTTCATTCTCTGCAATAGAACATTCTGCTCTGCTTTTCTTGTTTACCATGCTCAACAATTGTTCTTCAGCTTTATTATCTTTACTTCATTGTTCATACTTTATTGACTCTTAGCTCACCTCAAGGTCCTCGAGATAATCGAGCTCGAGGTCCTCATTGCTCTAACTACATTGGTTTTGTTCATCAATTCTTCGTACTTAAACTTAATATTACTTGTATATTTATTGGTATTAGAATAAATCACATATCTTTAAAACCACATATTATCTTTATTGTTACTCACATTTTTTGAGATAAACAGTTTGGTGCCCACCGTGGGGCTAAAAATAATAGTGATTATTTTAATGCTAGTTTTCTAATAACATATGTTATTCTTCACACTTTTTCTTGTCAAAGATTCTTTGATTTCAGGCTAAGATATGTCTAGCACACAAAATGCACCGGCTCATGATAGTGAGGGACTCAGAGAAAATAGCAGTATAGGGGTTGGTGTACCACCCGTAAACCCTGATGGAGTGCCAACTATGGAGCCAGTCGATATCAGTTTGCATAAAGCTCTAAACATGGAAGAGGGCACAGACCCCGCAAGGAATGCACGCAGGGAAGCCCGGCCAGGGGACCAAGGAACGCCAGGATGGAAGAAGGGGGAGTCAGCTTCCAAGTAATATTCGAGATGCTGCAGGCTCAACATATCGCCATAGCTCAACTCCAAAGTCAAAATAGAACCCCAAGTGCAGCTGAGCATGAAAACAATCGGTGTGTTGAGCCGACGCCAGAAAGGTCTAATGAAAACGGCTTAGGGACTGACCCGACAATCATGAAAATGCTCGAGGAACTTACTAAAAGGATCGATTCAGGAGAAAAGAAGATAGAAGATAATGATAAGAAGGTGGAAACTTATAACTCCCGGGTCGATCAAATACCAGGAGCTCCTCTAATTTTGAAAGGACTGGACTCGAAGAAGTTCGTGCAAAAACATTCCCCCAGAGTGCGGCTCCGAAGCCCATCCTGAAGAAGTTTCGGATGCCAGATATCCCAAAATACAAGGGGACCACTGATCCCAATGAGCACATCACCACATATGTTTGTGGCATAAAAGGAAATAATTTAAAAGACGATAAGATTGAGTCTGTTTTACTAAAAACATTTGGGGAAACTCTGTCTAAGGGTGATATGATTTGGTACCATAACTTACCCCCGAACTTTATTAATTCGTTTGCCATGCTAGCAGACTCATTTTTAAAGGCACATGCCATAAAAGTCGCAACAAGAAAGTCCGATGTATTCAAAATAAAACAAAGGGAAAATAAGATGCTGAGGGAGTTTGTATCCCGCTTCCAGTCAGAACGAATGGAGTTACCACCAGTCTCTGATGACTGGGTCATACAAGCCTACACAAAGGGGCTAAATGAACGAAGCTCGATAGCTTCGAAGCTTCTGAAGCAGAACTTGATTGAATATCCCGCCGTAACTTGGGCGGATGTGTATAATAGGTACCAATCAAAAATTAGGGTCGAGGATGACCAATTGGGAGCCCCTCAAACTCAATTTATCCGAGTAGGTCATTAGCAAATGAGTCAGGAAACACAAATGGGAAGTCAAGGTCGAATAAGGAAAGGTATCAACCATACGTTGAAGATCGAAGGAATATTTCAAGGCGTAACATACCTCGGAATAATTGAAAAGCAGATCGTGGCCAAAGTTCTTGGGACCAGCGGAGGCACCCAAATTATTAGATTACAACTTCAGCATCAATGCCTCGGGTATCGTCTCAGCCATTGGCAAAATTAGAGTTACTAGATGGCACAAGCCTTTACAGACCGATCCTTCTCAGAGGAACCCCAACTTGATGTGTAAGTATCATGGTGCTCACGGGCATAGGACTGAGTATTGCAGGCAGTTTAAAGAGGAGGTAGCCCGGTTGTTTAACGAGGGGCATCTTCGTGAATTCCTCAGTGGCCGGGCCAAGAACCATTTTCAAGAAAGAGATGCAAACAGGAAGAATGAACCTGAAAACCTCAACATGTCATTCACATGATCATAGGTGGAGTCGACGTCCCATAGGGACCTATGTTTAAACGTACCAAAGTATCTATCACAAAGAAGAAACGGACTCGGGACTACATGCCCGAGGACACCCTCATATTCAGTGAGGAAGACATCGAGGCCTTATCTCAACCTCATAATGATGCCCTGGTAATCTCTATCATTTTAAATAAAATTCAAATTAAATGTGTTTTAGTGGATCCAGGTAATTTAGAAAACATAATCAGATCAAGGGTCGTGGAACAACTCGGCCTGCAAAGTCAGATCGTACCTGTGTCCCGAGTCTTGAATGGCTTCAACATGGCAAGCGAAACAACAAAGGGAGAAACCATCTAGCAGTAAACGTAGCCGAGACCTTTCAAGACACGAAATTCCATGTGATCGAAGGTGCCATAAGATACAACGCACTCATCGGGAGACCGTGGATACACAACCTGAGGGCGGTGTCTTCAACTCTTCACCAAATGATAAAGTTCCCAGTAGAGGAAGGAGTGAAAACAGTCTATGGAGAGCAACGTGTTGCAAAAGAGATGTTTGCTATCGAGGAAGTGGTGCTCAGTACCCGAGCCCTTGACCTCGAGCAACAAAGGTAAGCAAGAGGCTAAATAGCCATAACAGCAGGTAACTGAACTTCTTAAAATAGGGCCTATTCGGGAAGCAAAACACCCCAAGAGGTTAGCCAACATGGTTCTAAAAAGGGAAAACAAACTTAGAATGTGCATAGATTATAAGAACTTGAAAATAACATCCTTTCCCCTTGTCAGGTGTCGATCGTATGATCAATGCCACAGTTGGCCCCGAGAAACTAACTTTTCTCGATGCCTACCCCGGGCACCATCAGATTCAGATGAACCCGGAGGACCAAGAACATGCTTCATTTTTTTAGGGCGTTGTAACCTATAGTTACATCGTAACGCCCTCCGAGCTGAAAAAATGTAGGAAGCTACGCCTGGCTAACAAAATGTTCGAAAAACGAATAGGCAAAACAATGAAAGTCTGTAGTGATGATATGTTGATTTAGTCCCTGTGCACAAAGGACAATTTAATTCATTTATAGGAAATATTTGCGATCTTAAGGAAATACAACAAGAAGCTTAGCCCGAAGGAATGTGCCTTCGAGGTTGTCACAACCCGGATTTCCACCCTCGGGAGTCGTGATGGCGCCTACTAGTGAAAGCTAGGCAAGCCAACTATTCCGATTACTTTACCCTTTTTCCTTATTTTAATCTCTTAGCAATCTCAAGTTAACATATTATAAACAGCGGAATTAATAATGCAGAAGAACGAAATTTAACAACTAAGCTAGTACCAATACAAATCCATAAACATAAACCACCTAGAACTGGTGTCACAATCTCACGGACTATGTAAGAATACTACTAATAGGGTCCGAACAAAATAAATACATGTCTGTCTCTAAAATAGTAGATAATAGAAGAAAACTAGATAGGAAGGGGATGCCAAGGCCTGCGGATGCCTGCATGACTACCTCAGGTCTCCTGATGGACTGGAGGCAGCAACCCTTAGCTAAGGTCCGTATGCTCCAGTACCGGGATCTGAACAAAAAGAATGCAGAGTGTAGTATTAATACAACTGACCCCATGTACTGAGTAAGTGTCAAGCCTAACCTCGGCGAAGTAATGACGAGGCTAGGACACAACAAACAATAATAATATGCAGTGAAACAGTATCTAGCAGAATAACAGTAATAGAAGTAATTCAAAAGTAACGGGGGAGGGGTAACATGCTATGGGGAAATACCAACGTAAAGAATCACAGTAATAATGGAATAAGACAATTAAGGTACTTGAACCGAAATAACTAGAAATCATAACAAACAGGCAATAAGTGCACGACATCACCCTTCGTACTTTTACTCTCAGTCCTCACCAATGCAATCAAGTAATAAAAATATGCATGGCATTACCCTTCGTGCTTTATCTCTCTTCATCATCATGTAAATATTAGAAATGTGCATGTCATCACCCTTCGTGCTTTATCTCTTCCTTACCATATGCATCAATATCAATGAAAATGTACACGACATCACCCTTCGTGCTTTATCACTCTTTCCTCACCCAAACAATAGCAACAACATCCCGGTAAGAGAATCAACAACAAGAATAAACACATCCCGGCAAGGGAATCAACAGTAAGAAATAAATACATCCCGACAAGGGAATCAGCCATAGCCAAACTTGTACCAACAATTAACTTCACAAATGAACCTCAACTGGAGAATGCTCAATAATAAACCAATACCAAGAAGATAATCATACGTCTTGCTCAATATGGATAATCAACAATTTAGGCAATTGTAGTACTTATTAAGAAACACAACGATCACAATTTAAGACTCACAGGCATGCTTGACACCAACATATAGATACTCGTCACCACACCTATACATCGTACACTACACTAGCACATAGCAAATAAAGCACAGTACCTATTCCCTCAAGCTAAGTTAGACCAAACACTTACCTCGAACTTCCACGGCCAACTCAAGCCTCAAACACCGCTTTTCCTTTAGAATTCGCCTCCAATTTACTTGTATCTAACCCAAATTAATTTAACAATATCAATAAATGCTAAAAAATTCATACCCAATGCTTAATTATAGGTTTTCTATCATTTCCCCCAAAAAGTCAAAAATCGACCCCGGGCCCGCTTGGTCAAAACCCGAGGTTCGGACCAAAACCTGATCATACCCGTGAGCCCGAATATGCAATTAGTTTCGAAGTCCAACCCCAAAATGAGGTCTAAATTCCAATTATTCAAAAAGCCCTAACTCTACCCAAATTCCCAATTTCTACCATAAAAACCCTAGATTTTTGGATGAAGATTGATGGAATGCAAAGGGAAATCGAAAGAAAAAGGTTTAGAATCATATACCAATACTTTGGGGAAGAACTTGCTTCTTGAAAATCGCCTCAATGCTCTCTAGTTTTGAAAATATGAAAATGTGGGCTAAATCCCAATTTTGCTACTGTTTTAAGTGTTGGACGACAGTGTTCATCGCGTTTGCGCGAGCACTGTCGCATTCGCGAAGAGTTGCCAGTTGTGGACTTACGCGATCGCGGGAGAAGCTTCGTTCGTGAAGGCTTAGCCCAGCCTTGCCTTCGCGTTCGCGATAGAGGGGTCACGTTCGCGTAGTTCTCCCTAGGTTCCATGACCAGCCCGTCCTAAAGCTACGCGTTCGCGGTTGACGAGTCGTGTTCGCGTAGAGCAAACCCCCCAATGCTTCGCGTTTGCGACCTGGGTCTCGCGTTCGCATAGGGTAAAATCCTCCCTAGCCCTGTTTCCCTTTCGCAATCGCGAGAATGGCTTCGCGACCGCGAAGCATAAAATGTCTGTGCAGCTAAAGCAACAAAACTGGTAACTTTCCTAAGTGTAAAAACATCTCGTGGCCTATCCGAAACTCACCTGAGCCCTCGGGGCTCCAAACCAAACATGCACACAACCCTAAAAATATCATACAGACTTACTCGTGTGGTCAAATAGCCAAAATAACACATAGAACTTCAAGTTTAACATCAAAATCAAAGAAAAATCTCAAGAACTCTTAAGTTTCAAATTTCACAACCGAGGGTCCGATTCATGTCATATGAAGTCCGTTTCTTACCAAATTTTTACATGCACAACTTAAATACCATATAAGACCTATACCGGGCTCTATAACCAAAATACGGGCTCGATACCATCAAATTAAAACACATTTAAATTTCCAAAAACTCTATAATTTCAGTTAAATAGTTTTCTTCAAAAAATTATTTCTCGGGCTTGGTACCTCGGAATTCAATTCCGGGCATACGCCCAAGTCCCATATTTTTCGACGGACCCTTCAGGATCGTCAAATCACGGGTCCGGGTCCATTTACCCAAAATATTGATCGAAGTCAACTTAAATTTAATTTTAAAGGCAAAATTAGCATTTTTATCAAATTTTCACATAAAAGCATTCCGGATATACGCCCGGACTGCGCACGCAAATTGAGGTGAGATAAAAGGAGATTTTTAAGGCCTCAGAACACAGAATTGACTTGTAAATCAGGTGATGACCTTTTGGGTCATCGCAGGGGTTGGCATAGGTGAATCTCTTGACGTCGCGGCATAAAATCGAGGTACCAAAATCAAGGCTATCGGGGATATCATGATGGAGGATAACATAGAGACCGTGCAAGGCTAACATGACAAATAGCTACCTTGGGTCAATTCTTGTCAACGTCGTCAGATCGAAGTCACTAGTTCTTCTCTTTGCTCAAAAGGGAAAAGGGCTTCGCGTGGACCCCAGGATGTTAACGAGCCTTACAAGAATTATAGCAATATCCACTAAGCCCGCTTTTGCTTAATACCCCGATGGCAGATGAAAAATGAGAAACAACACTTGTTCAAATGATCGCGCATCAGCAAAGGATCAAAAGGCACTACAATAGGAGGACCAACCTCCGACATTTCGGAGTCGGGGACTTAGTTCTACAAAGAGTCACCCTCTCTGTTAAGGTACGATTTTATCCTTTTGTCCATTTGACTTTGAAGCTAACTCATTACAGATTTTGAATTAATGGCATATGATCTCGGAGGCATCATTTTCTACATAAAGGCCCTAGGTTTTAAAGCATGTGTTGCACTCTTTTTCCCTTAGTCCAGATTTCGTCCCAAATGGGTTTTATCGGTAAGGTTTTTAATGAGGCAACAATTATGTGCTACATAAGGAAAACTCAACAGTATCCAAGGCTTCTTTTCAATCAACCTCGAATACTGAGGGGCATCACCCTCGGAAGCTATATTTTTTGAAAAATACTTCACGCCTAAGAGGGCCTCGATAGGAGAACTTTGTAATAAGCCAAACAGTCAAATGAACTGTGTCCACATAGAATAGTCGAGCCCCGATGACAAAACATGTACGCATATAGCGACTATTTGAAGAAGCATTCTGGTTATATAAAAAACACTTTGTATCTCAAAGAAGTTTACTATCATACGAGCTATACACTTATAATCCTATGGGAAGCGGCCCAAGGGCCAAAGCACCCCGAAATACTCGGGGATTGTCACTGACAGTCAATACATCTGAGTCATTGAAAACTCGGACTCATAAGACCTCAAAAGGGCACCCACTCGAAACAAAGACCAAGGCCAATATACTCGGGGACTAACTTTTCGAACAAGTTCGGAAAAGTTATTAGGAAAAAGTCCAAGTGACGTACCCGGAGGCTACGACCACACTAAAGACTATGGTCATACAAAGGCTACGACCAAAATAATGTGGCTCGGCGACGTCCGACTTCTACTATAAATTACAGGCCTTCAACTATTGAAAAACCGGTTAAATCAGGCTACCCTCGGAAAAAGCAAAATATAAAGGGCTTAGATAAATTCAGCCCTAAAAAATTTGAGGGCCTCAATAAATCCAAGGGCTTCGATAAAATCGACCTTCGGAAATACCTCAAGAGGTATTCAATTATGTTTATAAAAACAAATAGCTAATAAGGTCCCAATACGCCAAACCTTCGAAAAAACCCAACGGGTACCAAAAACACATGCTATGGCATAACTAAATTTTCACTAAGTTTTTTAGCTGAAATGAGAGA